CTTTCCCATGGCAATGCACCTTTTAATTTCCTGGCTGCTGGTGCCAAGACTGTTGACTATGGAGCCAAGCAAACTAAAGCTGTGTACAATCTCAATCTCTTCACCATCCATCCTGATGCTGCCAATTGGTCCAGTGGTGAGAATCTTTGTCTTCTTGGCATTGAGCCTCAATCCATATTGTAGGCTGCAGTCCTTGACACTCTGCAGCAGGCGCTTCAGGTCCTCTTCAGTTTCAGCAAGCAGGGTTGTGTCATCCGCATAACGCAGATTGTTGATAAATCGTTCACCAATCTTGACCCTACATTTCTCCTCATAGAGCCCAGCCTCCCAGATAATCTGTTCTGCATATAGGTTGAAGAGGTATGGAGATAGGATGCATCCCTGGCGTATGCCCTTCCCAATTTTGAACCATGCAGTGTTCCCTTGCTCTGTTCTGACGACTGCCTCCTGGTCCAAGTATAAGTTTCGCATTAGAACGATCAAGTGTTCCGGGATTCCCATTCTTCTCAGAGTCAGCCATAGTTTGTTATGATCTACACAGTCAAATGCCTTTGCATAGTCAATGAAACACAGATAGACATTCCTCTGGTATTCCCTGCTTTCAGCCAAGATCCATCTAACATCAGCTACAATATCTCTAGTACCATGACCCCTTCTAAACTCAGCCTGGACTTCTGGTAGTTCTCTGTTGATGTGCTGTTCCAGTCGTTTTTTGGATAATCTTCAATAAAATCTTGCTTGCATGTGAAATCAGTGAGATTGTTCTGTAGTTTCCACATTCTGTTGGGTCACCTTTCTTATACTCGAGTGTATTTTGTGGCTACAGTGTCAGCTGCTGTCATTGGGGGTTTCTTTCTTTCTTTTTTAATTGATCCTCCACTGAAATAAGACCTGACAATTGCTCTGGTAAAGATCATTGTTGTTGTTAGGTGTCATTGAGTAAAGGGAAACATATAACAATCCTATGAACAACCAAGCTGAACCTTGCCCTACCCTGTGCCATCCTCAGCAATACTGGCATATCTGAGCTCACTGTCACAGTTACTGTGTCAATCCTTTTTGTTAAGGATCTTCTTCTCTTTCTCTGATTCTCCATCTTTCTCAGCATGATATCTTTTGCCAATGACTAGAATGCTTAGAGAAAATTCTACTCTGTCACATGGGGTCACTATGCGATGGAATTGATACTATGGTACCCAACAACAATTACTTTATCAAACATGATTTCCTTTGCTAGTGATTGGCCTTCTTAAGGACATGTAAATATTGCATATAGTGTTAAACAATGATGTAAGGAGGGTTTGAGTGGGAGATCTAATAGTTGGTGCAAATAAAAACAGAGCCACTCTTTCCCCTAACCTTATCTAGGCACTGAATACTTTTCTTCTTTAGGTAGTTTGTAACAATTCTGGGCATTAAAATGAATGAGAACAAATTGAAAGCTAAAAATACTCACCTATTTCACACAGCAACTGACTGGGTTAATTAGATTCTTATCATTTCTAGTTCAGACTTAAAGTTATACTTGATATTTAATTATTTTAATTTTTTTTCTCAAAGCAGCATTTAATAAGTGAGTTTAACAATGTGGAATCAGCAAAACAAATCCAGTATCATCAATTCTATTCTGAATCATGGTGACCACAAAAAACTATGTGACCACCATGGGGGTGGCCACATCTTTTCTCCACTAACTCCACAATGGAGACCACTCCCTATCCACAATAAAAATCCTGATTCCTATGCAGTCAAGCACACCTCCACACATCCACTGCTATCTGTTCTAATGTCAACTGTCCCCCACCAGGGCTCTTGCTTTTCTACTAGTAAAGTCTGCTAATCTAGTGCAATGATTGCACAGAACTGGCAGGCAATACTCACAGGTAGGAGTTTTGTTAGGGAAGCTCACAGGTTACAATTCAGGTAAGAAACAGGATAGAGTTCTTCAGTCAGGAGAGCTTCTCAGGTGTGCTTGGAGGCCCTCTGATCTTAGCCTCCTGGTTCTACTCTAGTTCTACAAAGCTCTTGCTCCTGCCAATCACGGTGCCTCTCTATAGTCCTACAGGACATTTGGAAGAAGGCTTTTAGCTCTGGCTTTGGCTCTGTGAAGTGTCAGAGTAAGGCAAGATGAGGCAGAGAGAAATGATTACCAGAGACGTGATTGCTATAACCAAGCCAGCTTTAATAAGCCAGCCTCCAGAGGGATTCTACCTGTTTGCACAAGAAAAGCGACAGGAGGAAATGCAAAGTTTCTTGTATACAACACAGAGAGGTGGATTACAATAATAGGAGTTGGATGGGAGGTGACTGGTAATGGTGGGGGTGTGGGGGAGTTTGGCTTGGTGGGAGGGATGGGGCCAAACCACCTGTTTTTAAGTAAACTGTTCAACTGCAAAGCAGATGGGGGAAGGTTCTGCTGGTACCACCGGACAGTCAGTCCCATTCAACTTTGTCTCCCGTTTGTCTTTCGTTCTTCCCTGCTGCTCTCCTCTAGGCCGTGGTCTGACTCTCCCATTAATATCTGGTTTAAATGGAGGTATCCTGGATTCTTCTTTCTTGTAGGTGGAATGATTCCTATTTTCTGCTGATGAACCTACTCATTTTTAGCCAGGCAAGATGGCAAGACTAAGCAACCCCTAATTAGTAATCCACTTCAGACATATTAAAAATAATGCAAATAAATTAGTGATACAATTTTATCTAGTATATGCTTCACAAACATAGTGTTGATTTTTATTTTCTTTTTTATAGCAAAACATTCTATTGTGGCTGATGATGTCAAATGACACTGTAGAGACAATGTTAAACCTGTGAAACTTCCACAAATATCTAAAGATCTAAACTGTCCTAAAGAAGCAGGTCCGTCCCTGGGATAACATAAAGGAGAGGTTCCATCCTATGAGACCCCACTGAGTAGGAGGCAAGTACAGAGGTGCCTCCCTTATTAAAACTGCTGGTGACTTAGCACTAAATAAACAAGATTGAAGACTGATCTATTTGAATTATGTCATTGACAAAGAATATTGACTACCCTGGACTGACAGAAAATGAGCAAATCTGTCCCTGAAAAAGAAAAGCCAGCATGGTGTTTGGAAGCAAGGATGGTGAAATTTTGTTTCATATACTTTGGCCATGTTATCAGAACGGGCTAGTCCCCGGAGAAGGATAATGTGTTTGGTAGAAGGAAGAACTTAAAAAATGATTGATTGACATACTGGCCATAACAAAGGTCTTAAACATGGCAATGATGGCACAGGACCGGACAGTGTTCCACTCTGCTGAGTTTAGGACTGTTAGGTGACTAGAAGACACCTAACAATAGTACTGCAAAGTGAGAGCTACATAACAAGTGTGAAGCCCACACAAGTCAGTCTCATTGGAATGTTTTGACTATTTGTCAAGAAAGATACCCTAATTATTGTAGTTGCTGTTGATTGCCATCGAGTCAAGGACGACTCACAGCGACCCTATGAACAAAAGACCTTTCTGTAACTATAGTCGTTTCTCAAAGTTTATAGTTTCCAGAGGCATGTTGTTTAGGAAGTGCATTCCACTCTTGTTTCCAAACGCAATGATTACTATTGTCTAATCTTCTTTGGTAAATCAGAGAAGCAGAGTCTAACAAATTCCTATTATCTGGGAAGAAGAGTCTCTCCCACCTTCTCCCACTTTAAAACTATCCCTAGATTTTATGAGTGGAAAAAGAAGTGAAAAAAAGATGGGTTGTGATTTCCATAGACAGAGAACAAGGGGGAACCTGTCTGGAGATATAAAACAGGCCTGGTTCGTGAGTCTCCTTTTTCACAGGTTTTAACTAATATTTAATCCATTAAGCATGGCTACATCTCTGAATTCTGCCCTACCCGGGTCCCTGGCCCTTGAAGATCCAAATACCTGACATGAACATATGTGGTGTGAATTAGTTGGTCTAAGCTTTTGGACTGCTTCCAACTTCTCTATTGCTCATGCCCTACAGGTCAAGGAAAGAAATGATGTAATGCACTTAGCTGGGCCGCTTGAATTACAATGGAATGGAGAGGGGGAGGGGTCACAGGCGATGACAAGTTTAGCGCATGACTTGCCCCTGGGATGCAGGAAACAAAAACATCGGCAACCATTGGCTGAGCCGACTTCCTACCTCGGTATCTAGCGCCAGGTCTGGAACCTTGAAAACCACATTTCCTGGGAAGAGGGGAGGAGCTACTCCACGGAGCGTCAACCTTAAATACGCACACAAACACACCCCTACGCAGCATCCTCTCTGCTAGTTGGGCGTGGGGGCCTAGTGGTTGGCACACGGTCTCCAAGAAGGTTCCTCCACGGATCGCCGCAGGGGCCCGATTCGGCCCGCGGAAGTCTGGCGTCGGCGGGAACTGGTGCCACCCAGGCTGGCTCCCAGTGAGCAGAGCTGTCGTCATTCATTCGCAGTGCCCGGAGCGTCCTTTCAGCGAGAGCCGGGCTCAGCGCCGGGTGCGAGCGGCTCGGACGCGGGGTCGTAACGTGCTGGGAGCTCAGGAGCTGTGGGACCTCGCCGATCGAAGCCTCTCCAAGTCAGCCAGGTACCTGCCGCGCCCCAGCCCAGCTTGGCCCCGACTGCGGGGCCGAATCAGCTGGCACTGCCCGCAGCCCTGCCTGCCGCCTGATCCAGGACTGAGGCGCACACTTCCTCCTCCTCCTCCACCTCCCGCTTCCCTTCCTCCTCCTCCCCTGCTCCTTCTGCCGCCGTGGGACCGGAGCCGGGCTGCGGCGCGGCGGGCGGCGGCCTGAGCGTCTGCGGCCGCAGGCTCGCGGGGGGCGCCGGCGCCGCGGGGAGGATGCTGTTCGCGGTGCCCGCGTCCTCGCCATCCTCCTGGGCCGCCCGCTGGGGCTTTGTTGTGGCCCCGACGCCGCAGGCCACCCCCTGGTGAGATCTCTTTCCGCCGCAGCACCTAGTGGCGCGCTTGTGCCCGGGAGAACGCGCCTGTGCTCGCCTGAGTGTGCCGTACCCGACCCGCCACGGCCCCATTGTGAGTCCGCCCGCGGCGCCCGGGAACATGTGGGTGAACCCTGAAGAGGTGCTGCTGGCCAACGCGCTGTGGATCACCGAGAGAGTCAACCCATACTTCATTCTGCAGCGAAGGAAGGGGCACGCAGGCGATGGAGGCGGTGGCGGAGGACTGGCTGGTAAGGGCCCATGGCAAGTCCCCAGGGAGGGTCCAAGAGTGCTGGGGTGCAGCCTCTGGCCCTTGGGCCGTGAGCGCCCTGGACGCCGCCCACTCCCCAAGGGCTGGGTGACTGCCCCGCCTTGGTGCATGCTGGGCGTTAAGAGTCCTAATTTTGAGACCGGGTGCTTTTCTGACCCAGTAGGGATGGGGCCCGTCAAATTCTAGGACTCAGTAAGTGTGTGATGTGGAGGGAATGGAGATGAGTGAATCTGGGATAGGAGGAGCATTATTAACCCTTATGAATTAAGTGCAGTACCCCCCCCCCCCATTTGTATGTTGTGCACGCTATCTTTTTCTAAACTGGTAAAAGGCATGGAAGAGGGTTAATTTTTACTTCCCTCTCTGTATAGGCAATAACAGGATGAAGTAGAAAATGTTCTTTTGTTTCAATGGAAGAAATCTGTAAGGAGCTGATGCGGTCATTTCCTTTATTAGTTGTGACAAAAGAGAATGAATAAGGAAAAAGGAATTCTTTTGTTGCACATAAAACAAAGCACGTTATCTTGGTCTGGTTGTAATAACAAAAATACAGCTATATCACTGCATTTTACATATTTTAATTCCATTGCTTTACTTTCTTCTCTCATACAAGTTATAAATAATGCATCTGTCACTGAAGCAGTATCATGTCACTGAGGATTATGGATCAGTAAAAATCTATATTTCAGGTAGTATGACATGAGAAGGTTTCCTTTGTCAACAAAATTGTTTGAAAGGTGGTGAAGGTTATATATAAACTTGAACTGATACTCTGATAGAGAAATTGGACATTCTACTTGTTAGTTAGAATGTACAGAACTGGAATACTTCTTACAGTAAAACTGTTAGAAGAAACAAGAGTTGCTTTACTAGGATGGAGATTACAGCAAAGAGATGACCCTTGACCTCTTCGAGTTTAGACTCTCTCCAGAAGTTTGAATGTTAGGGAAAGAGTTGCTTTCAGAATGTTCACTTATGCAATAAGAATTCTTAATGTGATGTGTAGTTGTTGTGTGATTATAATTTGGAAATTAATTTTCCCAGGATTAAAATTCCATTGTCATATGGCATATGTTTGTAAGATCTTTTTAGTGCTATAGATGACCACTAGGTAAATAGTTTTCTGCAACTTTTCCATAAAAAGGGAGAAAGGAATTTGTAGAGCTCCCTGACTGGAAATTCTTGGGGGTCCAGGATCAGGATTTTCCAGTTTATTTTTCAGGAGTTGCATAAGAGTACACATTAATATGTAGCTTGCATATCTAATTTTGTGATCAGAATGCTCTTTTTTAAACCAAGGATAATGGTGTTAAGTAGATAATTTTTTTTGTGGTAATGAACAAACAGCATGTCCAGCCTGCAGTTAACCTTCCATTATGTAGTATTGTTTCTTTTCCCAGACTATTGCATTAACTTTTACTAAATGCAGAGCTTTTCTTTTTGTACCTAAAATTTGTATTGAGTTTCTATAGATTCTTAGGGCTGTACGTTCCGCTTAGAATCTTACTTATTGTTAATGGTTGATTCCAGGTAGATAAATATATCTTTTTAATAAATAAATCATCACTCTGGTGGTTAATAAATAAATCATAGCTCTGGTGGCCTAGTGGCTTGAAGCTGCGCTGCAATCCCGAAGGCGTGCAGTTCAAGGTCACCAGCTGCTCCAGGGAGAAGGATGGGCATTCTCCTCCTGTGCAATTAACTGCCTTTGAAAACCTGCTGGAGGGTCTGTTGTGGTTCGGTTCAGACTTGATGGTAAACAATATCATCATATTTAATGCTGGAATTATTGAAGTTATTTCTATGAATAAAAGTATTTTTGCAAATAAAAACTATTTTAGTCAGCAGAAGTAGAATGTTTGCTCTGCTTGGTGCCACTGCATTGAATATAGCAGGAACATTTAATGAAATCTTTATATTTTGTATAAAATAACTCAGTTACTATTGAGTGGACTCTTGATTCATGGTAACCTCTTATGTGTCAGAGTAGAACTGTGCTCCATAAAGTTTTCCATGGTGGATTCTTTGGACTTTGATTGCCAGACTGTTCTTCCGAGGCACCTGTGGGTGGCTGTGAATTTGCAACTGTTTGGTTAGCAGGCAAGCTTATATTCTAATTCTAATATAAGTTTTTCATTAATTTAGTCACTTAACACATGTTTATTGACAGTTTATTTATGTTTATTGAGTTTAGTGTCATAAAGCTGAGAGCCAAGTAAGAAAAGTTGATGAAATAATAATAAACATTATTGTACCCTTGCCACTCTGTGGTGACCAGGAGAAAACAGAACTAAGTGTAATTTAAATGAAGATAATTTAGTAAAAAGATTGCTTAGAGAGGAGGATGTAAGGTTACCAGAAGCAGTAAGAAATACTGAAGATTAACAGTGTGTCTGAATTAAGAAAAGCAGGAACAGTGTTTTAGAGTTCCAAGAGACTTGGAGGAATAGCTCTGGTTAACTGCTGTTAGAAATGCAAACAGAGAGAGAATGTGGCAGATCTCTCTTTTCCTACCTCCCATCTTCGGCTATTTGGTTCCCATCAGTTGTACAGGGAGTCCTGGTGATGTAATCCCTATAGGTCAGACTCTCAAACAGAAAAGGGTAGAGAGAGTGGATCAGGAGACTGGGGGTAAATTTAGGGATTAGCTAATATCACAAGGAGAGGTACATGATGCTGATTAGCCCTGGTTGGGGTAGGCATGGCATCAAGGAAAGATTGTCTGAAGAAGTGACACTTGACCTGAGAACTGAAGAAAGAAAAAGCCTGTGAGGAGAGGAAAGAAAGTGGGTAACAGCTAAGTAGGAAGCCCACCCACTACTTCATTTTAATGCTGGTGAAATGTTAGTTCAGAAAATGGTAAAAAGTACTCTCCATTTTAAAAAAAACTATTTCTAGTGATATGTGTAGGCAAGATGTAGTGAAGTCTCCTATTGTGCATTCATTTGATGTTTCTAACTTCTTGATCAAGACTTCATATACACACGGAAAGGAGCCCAAAACAAAGATTCACAGTGCAGTGCTTTATTATAAAGTCAACACCTTGCAGCCAGAAGCAGCTTTAAAAAATGGAACATTGCCAAAACCTTAGTAATGTCCTCTGGTGACTCTTTCCCCAGCACCAAACAGTATCTTAATGGTTTTGGGGTGAACACTATTGTGTTTTACTTTACAGTTTTTTTCAGCAAAGAAAGTATCACAATGTTTTGGATTTGCCTGTGCTTCAAGCATAAATGATAATGGAATTATACAGGATACAGTATTTTGTGTCTGTAGTCTTTTGCTCAACATTCTGCTTATGATATGAATACTGTTGCTTGTCTTTGTAGCTGTCTCTTTTGGCCAGGTGGCAAGAAGCTGCACTGCAATCCAAAAGACACACAATTAGAGGCTCCACAGGAGAAGGATGGACAATCTCCTTCTTTGCGATTACTGTATCTGAAAACCCACCAGTGGGTCAGCCATGGGTCGGTTCCAACTCTGTTGTGCACACAACATGCTGTATAGGAAATTATTATATCTGGGTACAGGACTGTCCTGGAGAGGGTGAAACCAAGTTGCTCTTTGGAGACAAGGATTTTGAAGCTCCATCTCACATACTTTGGGCATGTGGCCAGGAGGGACCAGTACTTGGAGGAGGACATCATGCTTAGAAAGTAGGAGGGACAGCGCAAGAGAGGAATACCCCGGATGAGATGGACTGAGTCAGTGACTGGAGAAATGGAATTAGATCTGTCAGAGACAATGAGATTGGCTTAGGATATGACAAGATTCAGAGCTATTATACATAGGGTTGCTATGAGTCGCAGGCAGCTCAGTGACACATAACAACAACAACAGTCACCACAATTTAATAAAGCTTTGATGACTTAGGGGGCAGAAAGTTGTGCAGCTAGCCAGAAGGCAGAGCCTCTCTGGAAGGTCAACCTGCCATGTCTTTATGAGAGAAAATGGACAGTCTTCTCCCTTGAGATTTACAACCCCTGAAAACCCTATGGACGGTCAGCTGTAAGTGGGTTCTGACTCTATGGCAATGACTTGACTTTTTTGACCACAGTTGTTCCTCTATTGTTGATGGACATTTGTATGGCTGATTCTTTGTGAGCCGTTCTGGATAATGTGGCTATGGACACTGTATATATTTCTCAGAGGCTGTAGGCTTTCATTTCTGTTGGATTCAGGAGAGGAATTGCTAACTCTTAGGCTTTATGTATCATCTTTAGTAGATAATCCCAAATTATTTCTAAGTTGTACTGGTATGTTCCCACTGGCAGCATATGGGAGCTTACCTTCCTCCGTTATTTCTGCCAACACTCTCAGTCTCTGTTATTTTAGTCTTTTGGTGGTTCTGTAGTTTAATCACTTTGTGGGCCAGTTTGCTCTTTCTTGGCTTATGTGGCTGGACAGTATTTCACCTTTTGATTGGCCTTCTGAAATTATTTGTGGCATGGCTGTTTAAGTCATTTACCCATTTTTATTTTATTATTCCTGCTGATCTATAGTTGGATATGTGTGGCAAAAGATTCATTCTGTGACTTGCCTTGATGAATGTTGTTGTTAGGTTCCGTTGAGTTGAGTACAATTTATAGAGACCCTATGGTCTTTGCAATCACTTGCTATGCATCAGAGAGTTGGGCAGTGATTAGGGAGGATAGAAGGATTTCATGCCTTTGAGCTGTGGTGCTAGAGAAGAGTATTGAATGTTCCATGGACTGCTAAAAAAAACCCACACAAACAGATTCATCCTAGAGAGGGTTAAACCAGGCTGCTCCTTGGAGGCAAGGATTCTGGGGCTTCATCTGACATACTTTGGACATGTTGTAAGGAGGGACAGGTCCTTGGAGAGGGACATCATGCTTGGGAGGGTGCAGGGACGGCGCAAGAGGGGAAGACCCTCTATGAGGTGGATTGATTCAGTGACTGGACTAATCAGGATGGGTGTGTCAGAGGCAGTACGATTGGCAAAGGATAGAGCAGGGT